TGCCTGGCTCTGCAGGCCAGTGGTGTCCTCTGTGCATCCATGATCAGGACTTCAAATAATGGACATTATTGCTGCCACCGACTCCCTGAGCCGCTGAAGACCGTGCTTCCCCTTTGACACTGTCCTTCCGGGCCTTTCCCTGAGTAACGGTGGCCAGTGGCTACGGCTGCACAATGACCCCCAGGGGCGTCTCACTCTCTGATCCTAACCCTTCATGGTTCTGACTGAAAAACGTGGCTTCAAACAGCAGCAGAAATACCCAACCATTTTCACTCGGATGTCCCCTCCGTCTCACCCTGAGAGCTTTATAGGAGAATCCGTTTGGCATTGCAGAATATCAAAAGGGAAGATGACAGAGCAAATCTGAAATCAAGCTGCTGCCGTCTCCAATCTTACCTCCCTCTTTCCTGGGACCAACCAGCGGCATTTTCCTACTTTCAAAGGCAGCAATTTTCTCCGGTTTTAAGCCAGAGGCACGGAGGCTCTCTGCTCACCCGTGGCTGTGGCTGGATCAGTGGGAATGAGTGTAACCAAACACAGACCTGGGAGATCCCGTGGCAGCCCCGCTGAGCATGCCCATGAGGAGGAGAGAGCTGAGCCCAGCCCTGCCCGCAGGCAGCAGACACGCGAACCAGGCCCTGTCTGTGCCCCAGGGACACGGGAGGGGACAGCAGGCCCGGGAGGTGCAGTGGCCTCGGCTGGCTCAGAGCCCAGTCCATGGGCTGTCAGCCATCGCCAGGGGCCGGCCCGGCTGCCTTGGTAAGAGGTGCCTCCTGGGGCTGCCACCAGGCACTGTGGCATCAGACCCCGGGGGAGAGTGACCGACTCCATGGACACGGAGCAGCCTGTTCCCTATCTACACAGGGGAAGAAGGCGACGCAGAGCGCCGTTGCATACAAGTCTGAGTCCATCTTCCGGAATTACTGCTTTCCCACTGTCCTTTAAACAGGGTCAGGAAGAGGACAGTTCCAGAACCCAGATCTGAGTCAGCAGGCGCCCGTGACGTGCAGAAAACACGGCCTGGCTGGGGGGTGATGTGGAAGGTGTGCTCACAAGACACAGTTGTCTTTGATGACTTCTTTTTTAAAATATGTTTTTATTGATTCCGAAGAGAGGAAAGAAGAGGAAGAGAGAAACATCGATTATGACAGGGAAGCATTAATTGGCTGCCTCCTGTACGCCCCACACCGAGGATTGAGCCGCAACCTGGGCATGCGCCCTGACTGGAAATCCAACAGAGACCTCCTGGTTCACGGGACGATGCGCAACCACTGAGCCACACCCACTGGGCTCTTTGAAGTCATTTCCTCCCCTGCCTTTTTGGACAGATCATCACTGGGGTTCTCCCCTGCCTCTTGGGGTCCTCCAGGAACCTCACTCTCTCTTCCCCTCGGAGAGACCCCCAGCAGCTCCCCAGAAAGGCTCCGTTTCCAGTTTCCACACTTCTCCAGTGGCTCTCACTAGTTCACGCCCAGTTCTCAGGACTGAAAGGACATTTCCGTGTAGTCATCTTTCCTCAGCTTTTCCTCTGCCTCATCACCTGTTCACAGAACGACGCCCTGAAGGTGGACTCCTGGCTGGTGGACCGGCCTTACCATCTCCCAGCCATCCTCCCGGCCTCTCCCAGGCTGCAGGCTGCTTGGCTGGGCCTGTAGGATCCGCTCCTCGCACCCCCCACCCCGCCCCCAGGCCCCATGGCTTTCCTACCTTTGCTTCCATTCACTGCCTGCACTCTCCGTATCTCACTGACCCGGTGAGGCACATTATGTCATGACGTCCTGAGGGGACATTGAGATGACAACGGGAATCTTACCAATGCCCAGCGCATGTGTCAGGATCTGTGTTATAAAGCTTTCACATTTCACACTTTCTATCTCCCCACGGATCACTGAGCTGAAAGGCCAAGTGCAAACAGTTCACTGTGGTCATTCTCGCTGGTTGAGTCACAGGTGACTCATTTTCTCTTAAAGCTGCGTTCCGCCCTCGCTGTCAAACAGACAGTGAGAACACTGACCCGCACCCGAGCCTCAGCTCTCCCGGCCAACCGGCTCTGAGACCTTCAGTTCCACAGTGAGCAGGTGTGGGCACTGCGGGCAGGTGTGGGCAGTACAGGCAGGTGTGGGCACTGCAGGCAGGTGTGGGCAGTACAGGCAGGTGTGGGCAGTATAGGTAGGTGTGGGCACTGCGGGCAGGTGTGGGCAGTACAGGCAGGTGTGGGCACTGCGGGCAGGTGTGGGCAGTACAGGCAGGTGTGGGCACTGCAGGCAGGCAGAAGTGACCGTAGGGCACTGAGAAGCTTTCTTCTGGCTGGGCCAGCTGGATAGGATGGGAGAAGCCGTGGAGGCTGGGAGAGAGGAGAGGCCTGGCGTTGTTCCAGGTGTAGGCCTAGCTCAGGGCAGACCTTCCGTGGCCTCAATTCTATTGCTCTTCATGCCTCGTTCGCTCGCCCAGTGGAGCCTCACGGGCTGAGGAAAGCCTGCAGCCCTCAGTGTGTGAGAGAATCTGGAGGCTGCTGTACCAATCACTTTCAGAAAAGGTAGTTTTAAAAAATGAAGTCCTAGTATATCGCTGGGCGAGGAGTTTTCCTCGAACCCAGTGAACGCAGGTCCTGCTGACTAACGGGTGTATTAGTTCTAGACGATTAACCTCAATCTAAACCCCGGACTCCTTGCACCCCTCAGTGGTTAATGTGCACTAAGAAAGGAAGGCTCTTTGTGGGAAATTACACCGTTTTCCTTTATCATGTATTGGGTTAGTTCAACACAGGAATGGAAATAGGGGATGCTAAAATAAAGATTTTAAGGGATGGAAGTAATTCTAAAATATTCAAAACCTGTGGTCTTGTTTAAATACACAATGTAGCTGGTGAAGTTATGCAATAAATTGTCTGGAGCCAGGAGACCTGAATTCTACCCATTGTCGCACAGTTTATAAAACCCAGTGAAACCCAGGTTCAAGTCAAAACTTTGTTACTTGCTAACTTTGTGATTCAGATCCAGTTATTCAAACATTTTAAGCCTCAGTTTCCTTATCTAGAAAATGGTGATTATGAGAATGAAATGATTTAATATGTGTAAAGCACTTAATCTATAGTATAAGACATGGGAACCCACAGTAGTTGATTATGTAATGACTAGAGGCCCCATACATGAAAATTCCTGCAAGAATAGTCTTTCCTTCCCCCGCTGCCAGCACCAGCTTCCCTTCCTCCTCCAGCCACCGGCAGGCACCTGGGACCCGGGCTGGCTTTCCTCGGGCCCCGGCTTGGTCAGCAAGGATGCCTGGAATGACATCCAGAAGACGTCGTCTAATTAGCATATTACCCTTTTATTATAATGATGATAGTGGTGTTGGTGGTTGCGATGATGTGATGAAGATAAAGAGGATGATGGTGGTGATTATGGAGGTGAAGGTGGTGATGATGAAGGTGATGGTGGTTGATGGTGACGATATGATGATGCTATGGCATGAAGTGATGATGAGAGTTTGGAAGGAAGGAAACTGGTGAAGAGGCAGAACCTAGGAACAATGCAAGGGCCAGAGACAAGGCCCCTGAGCCAGAGCTGTGGGTCCGAGCAGGTCCGAGACACCCTTTGCGCTAACCTAACACGGCTGTGCCTTTTGTCAGCGGCCGCAGCTGCAGACGTGGCCAGAATCGCATTCTGTGCGAAAATCAAAGCCTGGTGCAGGGAACGAGGCAGGCCCGGGCAGGTCTGCAGAGGCCTGTACTGGCCACCGGCTCCCCTGCTTCTCCAGGGCTGAGCCGTCCAGCCAGAGGACACAGGACGCCTCCTCTCTATCCACACAGGCTGGTGTGAGTGCCAGCAATGGAGGCATGGTCTGCGCCCAGCGGGGAAGCCCAGCCTGCCTGGGGCGGGTTAACTACATTCCCAGGGGCCACCAGCAGTTCCACATGCACCTGCCGCTGGTGCTCGGACAGAGGAGGACTCCTCCTTCCACAGGTGCTCCCCGAGCACAAAGCTTTGCGACGCAGCATTCGAGTTAAGTGTGTCTTCCTGAGCAGAAGGAGACCATCCTGTGCCTCCTACGTGTGTTCTGGGTCAGGGTTGTCCTTGGGGATCACTGTTTTGTCCCATAGCCAACTTTGCACCCCTACAGACCAGGCCCTGAGCCGTTACAGGCTCCTCTGCCCGGCAGGGACACGGGCCCTCAGCCCCGCAGAATCCGAGGAAAACCATGCCCTCAGCCGCACACAAGGCCTGGCCCCTCCGCCACCACCTAACATCAGGCTGCTTCCTCACGGGGGCTCGTCGGGCTGTCTATTCAGGTGCACCCGCCGAGGCTGGGTCTAAGTGAAACAGCACACATGGAGAGAGCAGCACAGGAGGGTTGTGGGAGCGGGCACTGGCCCGTGGGCACCCCTCCCTGACGGCTCCCCCATCCCAGACCCGGCGAGAGGAGATGCGTCAAGTCCTGCACTGTTAGGAACATGCCCCCTTTTGCCTGTAATCTACTTTGTTTTGTAGTTTAAAAACCCTATGAACAAGAAAAATGGATTATGTCTCGTTTGAGGGAAATGTCTGTCTGCAAATGTCTGTCTGCATGGGGCATCCTGGTCAGTTACATTATGTTCTGGTTAAGTTATGTTACGTTACGTTACGTTACGTTATGTTATGTTATGTTATGTTCAGATCCAGCTATGTTCTGGGGGAATCTTTCAGCTCCTCGGCCCTCAGTCCAGTGGCGGGTACAGTGAGGAAGGAAGCTCGGCTGTGTGCCTGCCAGGGCTGGTTGCTTAGGAACATCTCACATCCCCCTGGGAGAAAGGATGACTCCTGGAGGTGACATGGAGGACCCGTGTCCCCTGAGGGAGCAGCCCCCAGACCAGATGCACACATCTCCTTAGAGCAGTGACAGGAGGGCCACAGCCAGAGCGCAGTGGGTCTGCCTCTACGAGAGGCGGCCAGGAAGGCAGGCCGTCAGCAAGTGGCCGGGCGCGGGGAAGGGACGCTCACATCGTCACCGCACACAGAACTCACCGCTGATCCACTTAGCCTCGGGGTCGTGAACTTTGAACTCGGCACTGAAGAGATCCTCCACCGTGACCTTCTTCTTCTGAGAGAGACTGTTGTCTTCCACTAGAAAACAAAGGAGCAGATGGTCATGCCCTCCGCTCCGGTGGCCGTTCGGGAACAGCCCGTAGGTAGAACATCTGATACCCCCAGTTCGTGCCCGACAAAGGCCAGTCGCGCTTTGTTTTAATTAAACCATCAGAGATGGCTTGGCGGGGAGGGGATCTGTGTCAGTGACACCCTTGCCTGCAGTCTGCGAGGCCACGTCTCCGAGCTCTGCACAGAAATACTGTTTCCAGACTGAACGCCCCGGCGAAGGCTCAGGGATCGGAGCAGCCGGACAGCCATGGTTTGATTCCCAGGCCGGGCACATACCTACGTAAAGGGCAGGGGTCATGCTGGAGGCAAACAATCAATGATTTCCCTCACAGGAATGTTGTTTTTCTCTCTCCCCCTTCCTCCCTCTCTAAAACCAATTTTTAAAAAGTTAAAATAAAGGATTGATTTATGAGCAATAAGTCATCAAAAGAGGGATGAACAAATGTCTAAGGAAGGCTCTCTACTGTGCTACGTAATCGATCATTCTTAAGCATTTATTAAATGCCAAGTACCGGCAGCGTGGGGGGTGTCGGGAAGGAAAAGACGGCTGACATCTTCCTTAGGCATTTCTCCTCCACACACCCCAGCCCCGCTGCCTACGGCCGAGGATGAGCTCCTGTTCCGGTAGACTCAGACCCGATGTCCCCGTGCACACCGCCAGTGCTGCCTGCGCCTCCATCATCACACTTGGGAGGAAGCAGCTAGACCAGTGGTTCCCAACCTGCTTTGGCCATGCCCCACCTAAGCACCTCTAAAGTCCTGAAGCTCCCCGCCACCCTGTGACACGAACTTTTGTTATTCAAACAGTGAGCTCCTATTCACGCAGAGGAAGCCTAAAAGACCATTCACTTGATCTAAACAAGATTTCAAAGAACATGGCATCCATGAAAGAGAAAAATAAAAGAACGAAAAGATGTTAGAGAGTACCTGGGAAGGCACATGAACATTTCTTTAATTATTGTCAGCTGAATCCAGTGGCACTGGCAGAGCCATGTCCTGGAGACACACCTTGCCAGAGGCAGGTGTTGTCAGCCTGACTTTCAGCTCAGGTGCCAGGGGGTGGGTTTTGTTATCTAAATCCAGCCAAGCACCAAAACAAACATGAAGTGACCATTACAAAGTAGCCACCAGAATGCACATAATCTCCTTAGTCCTTGGTACAACTTCCTGGTTTTTGCTGTATGAAATAAACACCCTGTATTGGCTCTGGGTCCCTGTCTTTCCATCAGAGGACAGTGGTCCCAACCAGTCCCAGCTTTCCCTACTGTATTTGTGTCTCTTTCATTTTTTTTAACCCTCTGTAACCTCTACTCAGGAATCGGATTGCTCTCTACCTGTGATGGACTCGGAAGAGATAAATATTTATATCTAGCGCCCAGATCCAGGGAACTGAATACTGGGGAACTCTCAAAAGTCAGGCAAGGGGAATGCTCCGGGAGTGCGCACACAAGGAACTCATGAAGTAAGGTAAGGAGCGTAAGGCAAAAACTGGGTGTAAAACATGGGCTATTCAGAGTCTCAGGAAAGAGACATCTACTCTCAAATGCTTAAAATTATGCTTAAAACTAGAGAATGTTCTGTTGAATATAGGCAGATTCTTGATTTCTTAAGTTTTGTTAATGAAACTTGACCTTGGTTTCCTGAAGAGGAAACTGTCAACTTTCAAATGTGGGGAAAGGTCAGAAAGCAGTGGTGTGACCCATACATAGCAGAAGGCCCAGAGAAGATTCCTATCCCTACATTCACACTTTGATCTTTAATTTGTGATTGCCTTGATCCAGCTCAGAAGAGTTTAAAAATGTCTAAGCAGGGTGTGGCCATGGATTTATAGCTTACAGTGGAGGGGTGTGAATCCCCCCTCTGTACCAACTCCACCTCCCTGTTGCTCTTGCAAACACAGTCAAGAGCCCACCTGATAAAGATTTACCTCATAGTTATGAGTAGGAGCTAGAGTTTGAACCAGAGTGGGACAGGAATCACTGTGAGCAGGATGACTCAGATAATAAGAAAGGTTTTGCTCACAGCTGCCCAGCCTTTATGGCTGGATGCAGGCACTCTACGAAAGTGAAAGTGACTTCATATTTTATTTTGCCAGAGGCTAAACTATTTGTAGTGGGCTGAACCAAGTAGAAAGGATTAAAGAAATTTCTCAGAAACTGCCAATAATTCTTTATCTTAAAAAATCTTTTTCTTCACTGGGATGCGAAAGAAAAATATCCCTGTGCTTTCTGTCTGTCTTTGTGGTGGCCCAGATTGAATAAGGGACTACATTTGCAAAAAAGAAAAAAAAAAAATCTTTTTCTTTCCCTCCCAGGCCACCAGAAACTCTTAGATAGTTAAATTTCTTTTTATGTGTCTATATTGTAACTTTAATTTGCTTTTCTCTGATTTATGATTTTATTGTGCTGTGTTAAAATTTTAAGATTCTAAGATTAATTTGAAAAGTGTAAAACCTGTAAAAATTGCTACCCAGGGAACTTTAAACAAAGGCCAGCTAATTCCAAGCATTCCTTTAATTTAATTTTAAAGAAACAGTAGATGGCCAGACCATTACTAAATTTCCCCAGGGTAAACAGAATGTGGGAATGGGGAGAGAAAGAATATGAGCGGTACATGTGGCTGATAGCACAGGTTCTAAGAAAATTCCCTAGACAGAAGGAAGCAACTAAAAAAGGCCCCTAGTTTTTTGGTGATCCTGTAAAATGGATATCCACTCCTGAAAGTGTTAATAAAAGTCTCATTTTTGCCATATTTTTATTCCCCAGTTTGTCATTTGAAATTTGGATAGATGAGACATTTCTCACAATTTAGGGATATGTCTGGGATTTCTGTACTCATGAAGAGATAAAGTCTAGATTAAGAGAAAAGGTGCACTCTGCCCAACTTTGAGTGGCTCATGAACTGAACCCCATATCTCTTCACGGATGCTATAGAATAAACCCCAAGCCTGTTTTTCTCTAAAGAATGGGGGGTGGGGGATGACATAAGGAAAATATATAGGCTGCACTTAGGCAACAAGTGCAGTGTTTCCGTAATAATGGGTCGTTCTTGAATAATAATGGACTTCATTCCAAGGTTGCCTCACAGGTCTGGGGGCACTCCTATTTTTATAAAGAAAAATAAAATAAAATAATACTTTGACATTAAAGCCACAGAAAGTCAGTAAGTTATCTCTGTTACAGAATTTTCCAAAGAAAATGCCTTGGGTAATAATAATTGACTCTAAAAATCTCAAAGTTGTTAAGGCAAAATATACATAACTAAGTGGTAATTATATATGAGTAAACATAGTTTTCCAAAGTCCTTGGTAACTTTAAAGACTTTGGAACATTGCTAAATTAAATAATAAAAATTATTAAATATCTAGGTACGGCATTTGAAAATGACAAGGCAATGAAATATCAATCTGAGTTCACCTCATATGAAAAATCTAAATGATAGAATTGAGTCTATTAATTGAAAGTGCCTTGTGTTTTGTTTGAAATATATCCCTAGAGATGTGGATATGTTGATAGTCTGAGAAATGCTAGGTGTTTGGCTTAATGGCTAGAGTTTGAGGCTTCTGGAAGTTTGGAGTTCAGGTGAGGTTGGGAGGAATTGTACAGTTGTGATAACATAGTCCATGGAGTTTGGAGGTTCATCTTTGAGAGGAATGGTTCTTGTGTTTTTTCTGGAGAGATTGGTGGTTCAGAGCGTATTGTGGTCCTTATGTGTATTGTGTGTGGTGGAATTTCAACCTAAGATATGGTATTTTGTTGGCCTAATTAGAGGATAAGAATTAATTCTGTGGTCTGAACCAAATTTTTAATGTTGAGACCAGTTTGAATTAAATTGATGTCTTTTAGAAATAATTATAAAAACTGTATAATATAATCTTTGGGTTATGTATATTTGATAGTCTTTCCAAGTTAAATTTCAATCTTTAACCGAGATATGGCTTTGGGACATTTCAAGGGTCCTAGTGATTCAAGGATTTATTCTCTCCTCTTAAAAGAAATATTTTTAAACTAAATTAATCCAATCTAATACACTCAAAATCATGTGGGAAACTTAATAAAATAAAAATTAATAATTATGTTCTATTTAAATACATATAAGCAATTGGTTCTAAGAAATTCCACAGTAAAATCTGCAAGAAGAGTATTGTTTAAAAGTAAATTTAAAAAGAAGAAATTTTAAAATCTCTTCCCCAACTATTTATAAAGTAAATTAACAGTTATTATTCGGGCATTAAATTCACCATTAATGAGACACCATGAAGAAAAAGAAAGTTACTTTTACTTGAGATGTATGCATTGCAGTATTGGCCAGCATGTCTCTCTCCTAGTTTTTCTGAAAAGGCAACCCAGTTAGTTGTTTTGTTTAAAAGAAAGTAAAAGTATTTAAAAGAAACTCCCTAAATGTGGCTTAGAGATTGCTCTGGGGAAAAATACAGTGGAAAATGCCCTTCAAATACCTAGGAACTGTACTTAAAAATCAAAGTATTAGGCCTCAAAAGGTAGAAATACAAAAGGATTGCCTCAAGACCTTAAATGACTTTTAAAGGTTATTAGAGGACATTAATTAGTTAAGAACTTATCTAAAAATCTCTATGGGAGGAATGACAAATTTATTCAATGTACTTAGGAATCCTTAGAAAATTTTTACTAGGTATATGCAAAGACCTACAGAGTCAATTTTCTAATTTCATGACTCGAATGTAACAGCAGTTTGCAACCATCTAAAAAATATAAATGCCAAGTGGTTTGGGGCCATCTAGTAAATCCTATCTTCCCTAAACCAAGGACATTTAAAAGTAAATAATTTGTATTTTGCCTCCCTAACCAAAGCTTATGTCACTATACTCAAAAAGACTGATAGCAGAAATCCAATTAGTGTCATTTACTGTGCACACCCTCGGTCAAATAAAGTTCAAGGGGAACTAATATGGAAGGTTACCAGAGGCTTAATATTGTCTCAGAGGCTTGTCTCTCACCTGGAGATTAAGTTACTAGGAATCCCAGCAACCTATACAGTGATAGTATAGGTTGTGGTAAGTATGGCCAAAATTATTGAAACGGCTACTATAGGGCACACTAATTCAGAGGAACTCTTTCATTTACTTTTCAGCCTTCAGAAGGCTGTTTGAGAATGACAATTTCCTTGTTTTATTGGCCATATTAGATCCCCTGCTGGCCTTCCGCGTCCCTGGCTGACAGCAACGAGGAAGCAGATCGCCTTGTTGCCTCAGCAGAGGAGGCCACGCCATTGTCCATGGCACAGGCCTCGCATGCCCCATCATCAGAACGCCTCTGCCTTGCGCAAGGAGCTCCGTATGTCCCCAGAGCAGGCTCGCCAAGTGTGAAGCAATGCCCCAGTGTGTGATCCACCTCCCTGTGCCAGCATTAGGGGTAAATCCCCAAGGACTTAAACCTAATCAAATCTGGCAAATGGATGTCATTCATATAATTGAATTTGGCAGATTTTGGTGGGTCCATGTCTCTATAGATACATGCTCACGCTTCCCAAACAGGGGTAAGTGCAAAGCATGTAATTAACCACTGCCTAGTGGCTTTTCCAGTCATGGGACAGCCCCTAGAGATCAAAACAGACAATGGACCTGCCTATACTAGCTCCTCCTTTCAACAGTTTTGCAAGCAATACCAAAAAGTGCATAAAACAGGGATTCCCTATAGCCCCCAGGGACAGGCAATTGTAGAAAGAGCTAATCGAACCTTGAAGACTCAGTTACAAAAACAGAAAAAGGGAGAGGGGTGTTATCCTACTCCACAGAATCAGTTGAATCATGCCCTTTACACTTTAAAATTTTTAAATTGTGACAATGAGGGTCACACAGCAGCCGAGAGGCATCAAGCTCCTGGTGCGGCGGCATCAGCCGGTATGGCGCGACGGAAGGACTTACAAACAGGCAGTGGAGAGGGCCAGACCCAGTAATGATGTGGGGAAGAGGGCATGTTTGTATCTTCCCAGAGGTGCTTCTAACCCCATCTGGGTGCCAGAGCTAGTGGTGCGTCACAAACATGGACCTGGGAGAACAGCTCACACCTCCGGTGATGATACCAGCTCAGCCACCAACCCCGAAGAAGGAGAAAAGCAAAAGACAGGTGACCAAGGCACCCAAGAAGCTAGTGTCTCCACATGGGGTCAACTGAAGAAGCTGACCATTGATGCTCGGCAAGTGGTGAATGAATAGCGGGTTCAGGTAACCTCCTCCACCCTTTTTGTTGCTATGATGGCACTTGTCAACCGCCAGGCAAGTATGGCTGCAGCAGAAACTTACTGGACATATGTTCTAATCCACCCCCCCCCCCCCCCCCCGCCCTGTGGTCAATCCAGCCACCTGGACTGGGGAATCAGTGCCAGTGTTTACTAACAACACCAATATGGTTGGGGGTAGCTCCAAAAAGCATATAACTCCTTGTTCCCACAGTAGTTATACTTATAACTAGAAGCCTGATGCATGAAATTCATGCATGGGGAGGGGTCCCTCAGCCCGACCTGCACCATCCCTAATCTGGAAGCCCTCAGGGAATGTCGTACTGATGGCTTAGGCCTGCTATCCATGGTTCTCTGCTCTCTGCAGGACCTGCCTGCTCCACACCACGGCAATGGGCAAGCAGGCCCTTCTGGGTGCTGTCTGCAGGCTCCTGGGTTGCTGCAGGTGAGGGCCAAGCAGGACCTATTGGGTGCTGCCTGCAGACCCAGTTGCCTATTTGTAGGTCGCAGTGGCTACAGCCAAGCATGCCCTGCTGTCTGTTGTCAAGCTGCACAGCCACCCTCGCCTTCTGGGACCAGAAATGGTCCCGGGAGCCTGCGGGTATGGCTTGGCACCACCACCCTCGCCTCCTGGGCTGGTGATGGTCCTGGGAGGCTGTGGGCTTGGAGCCTGTCCCCGGGACCCAGGCCACTTGGCGCCGCACCGCCCTTTTGGCACCTGTGTATGCAAATTAACCGGCCATCTTTGCTGGACTAATTTTCATTCTCCTGATTGGCTGGTGAGTGTCATGGAGGCACGGTCAATTTGCATCTTTCTCTTTTATTAGTATAAATGGTTTTAGTGGGGAGCTCCCTATTTGTTTATCTGAAAAGGGGACTTCAGGATATTTGCAGCTTGGCCAAGAAAATAAGATGTCCTATGAAGGTGCAGACATTGCTAACATCACTGGCCCCTGGGATATGAGAAAATATCTTCAGACAGTTACTAAACTGGGGTTTCCTGGGGTTTCCTTATGGCTGTCTGATAAGCATCCCCAACTCCCTTAGTGTCCTAACAGCACCCCTACTGAGTGGGAGCATTTCCTCAATGGCAAGATTGTGCCAACCCTGTACCAGTGAGACATCATATTTCTGGCTCTGACTTGTATGTATTGGATTGGTCTCACAGGCTTTATGCTAGATAAATATCCCCATTTTCCAGGAGAATTTATAGGGGAAGCCCTAACCATGAAAACAGGAAATTTACAGAAAGATCTTTGGCATTTAGCTGCTACCCTTGACTGTCTTAATTTTACTGGCTCTTCCTTTGCTGATATTTTAGGAGTATGTTCATCAAGCTCTTGCTATGGCTCACAAGCCTGTGTCCAGCCCCCATATGTATTGGTGACTGGAAATGTGAACATCACCAGATGGGACACCCATTATGCTGTCCAATGCCATCATTGTAACCTTACCAGCTGTGTTTCCAGGCACACCCTGAATGAAGATAGATTAATTTTAAAGCAGCCTTCTTGCATTATGCTTCCTACCAATATAAAAGGAAAATGGCATTATGATGCGGGCCTCCAGGCATTGCAGGAACTGCACAATCAGCTGTTCCAGGAAAAGAGTGCTTTGGGACTTATTATTTTTGGTATTATTACCCTAGTTACTGTTATCGCATCTGCTGTAACTGCTTCTCTGGCATTGACCCAAAGCATCCAGAATGCAGTTTGTCAATGAATTGGCTCAGAACACATCAACTACATTTCATGATCAAGAAGATATAGACAAAAGGCTAGAAACAAAGCTAAATGCTTTGGAAGCTGTAGTGATAGGACTAGGTAATTAGAAAGTGCCAAGATGAGACAGCAGCTGCAATGCCATGCTGCTTTTACATGTATTTGTGTGACTTCAGCTTGCTATGACAGTTCTCTATGGGATTGGAATAAAATCAAGATGAATCTACAGGAAATATGGCATCATAATAATATCAGTATAGACCTAGTGTGGCTACACAAACACATGCAAGCCATTCAGAATAGTCATGATGAAATTATATCTCCTGCAAAATTGGCAAAAGAATTGCTAGATGATTTAAAAGAATTTAATCCATGGAATATGCTAAAACACACTGTCTGGTACATAATAGAACTTTTTTGTGTACTACTAATTTTATCCTGCTTTCATTCAGATCTCAAGTGTGAAGGCTCCAACTAGATGCCCATAAGCTACATTTAAAAATAAAGCAGGGGGAGATGTAGAGAGCACCTGGAAAGGCACATGAGCATTTCTTTAATTATTGTCAGCTGAATCCAGTGGCACTGGCAGAGCCATGTCCTGGAAACACACCTGAGCAGAGGCAGGTGTGTTGTCAGCCTGACCTTCAGCTCAGGCGCCAGGGGATGGGTTTCATTATCTAAATTCAGCCAAACACCAGGAACAAACATGATTATCCAGACCCACCCAGAAGTGACCATCACAAAGAAGCTACAAGAATGCACATAATCTTCTTTGTCTTGGGCTTTAGTAAAACTTCCTGCTTTTTGCTGTATAAAATAAGCATGCTGTATTGGCTCTGGGTTCATGCCTCTCCATCTGAGGATAGTGGTCCCACCCAGTCCCAGCTTTCTCTACTGTATTTGTGTCTGTCTTTTTCATTTTCTCAATTCCCTGTCACCCCTATTCAGGAACCAGACAGCTCTCTAGCCACGCTGGATGCGAAAAAGAGAAATATTTATAAAAGAATTGAAGTACTGAGGAAGAAATTACTAAGAAATTGTTTTAAAAAAATGAAGTGATATGAAAAAAATAGCAAATCAAGTTTCAAAACATATAATAGAGAACTGAAATGCATAAATATGTCACAATATCTATATAATAAAAGTCCAGCTACCATTACAGAAGAATGACTAGGACACGCACCGACCACGGGGGGCAGATGCTCACTGCAGGAGCTGCCTCCTGGTGTCAGTGCTCTCCCACCAGGAGCGCCACTTAGCCAGAAGCCGGGGTCCTGGCTGGCAAGCCCAGTGGCGGTGGATTTACCAAAGCCACCGGGGGCGTTGGAACTCGGGCATGTAGGTGTGTAGGGTGGTTACTAAAAGGAACTGGGGGCGGCCCTGGGGGTGGCCCTGGGGTGAGCAGCGTACCTGGCGTCAGCAGGATGACGGAGGTGACGATCAGGGAGCAGATGACCAGGATCACGAGCAGCGCGATGGCGATCCCTTTCCAGTTCCTCTGTGGGGGGTTGCTCCCCACCAGCTCCTGAAACAACAACGTGGGGAGAAACTGTGAGGGAAACCCAGGAAAGGACGAGCCATCAATGGTCACCACGTGACTCAAGACCCAAGACACGAAGACCTGAGCGAGGCCCCCATGCTCATCCCTGCAGCGACACTGAGCTCGGCTCCCGGCCTCTGTCTTCCCTGCACCGGGGCAAACGTTAAGGAAGAATCGGCACCCTGGCCGGTGGTTCAGTGTTAGAGCTTCGGCCCATGGATGAAAGGGCTGTGGGTTCCATCCCCGGCCTAATCTGGGCTTGGGCAGCAGGCAACCAATTGCTGCCTCTCTCGCACATGAAGGTTTCTCTCTTCCTCCTGCCCCCCTTCCACTCTCTCTAAAAATTCAATGGAAAAACATATCTTTGGGTGAGAACCAACAACAACGAAAAGAGTCTGATATGTGTTATGTTTGCAGCTTTTGTATGAACTTAATGTTTCTCCAGCCAACAAACTGAGCAGTCATTGCAGGGTTTTCTTTTTATTGCAGCCAAACCATGAACCCCACAGAATCACCCCACTATGTTACAGTCCCAGCCCAAGTCCTCTCTCATCTCTCTTCATGCACTCACACTGTTAACCTCAGCACCGAACCCCACGTTTGCTCAGCGCACGCAGTGTGCCCGTTTCAATCAACCTGCCCACTGCTCACCCCTGAGCCTCTCCCATCTTCTGTAGCTCCTCTGCAAGGCTTGCAGACACCCAGGTGCAAGGGGAGCTGCCTGGCAAGGTACCTCACCTGTCCCCACGCTGGGTGTCAGCCCCTCCCTCCCATATTTGCATTGTCGCAGAGATTGGGGGTGACATCTGGGATGATAAAGGCTGAATAAATCTAGAAATTTAATCAGGCAAACTGGCTGCTGAGACCAAATTTTTAGTTCCTTTCAGATTATTGTGATTGTATAATTTACAGTTCAAACGGGGATCCTTTGAGAGACGAAGGCAGTAGTGTCGATAATTAATAGTAAGTTAGAAACAGAATAGGGCTATCTTAGTAATTGTAATGATTCATTGTACAAGGGCAACGGGACTCTCCAGAGCAAGCAGAGACAGTCACACGGCAGACGGAGATTCCACGTCTGCCCACACACGGGTCACAAACACCCATTGGAGCCATAGATGCCGCCCATACGCTCCAAGTCAGGGTGAAACAGAACGAGATGACCTCAAAACGCAGGCGACGCAGCGCACCAACACGTCTTCACCGAGCCACTAGTTCTTAGAGCGGCTCCAATCGCTGCAAGCCAAAACAAACATGACACTCAACTCAGGGTGGCAAATAATGAATGCCTGGCACCACATACGTAACAGGGACTACCTAGGGTTCGAATTAAGAAAAATTCAACTCTAAACAACTGACATTAACTCCTTAGGTTATCAAATAAAGAAGATTCTGAGTGTCCTGGCAGGTTGCATAATGGTTAGAGCATCGGCCCACGCACAGAGGGGTCTCAGGTTCATTTCTGGTCAAGGGCACAGACCTCGGCTGCAGGTTCGATCCCAGGCCCTAATCGAGGCATGTGTGGGAGGCCACCAAATACCATGTCTCTCTCACATCGATGTCTCTCACTCTCTCTCTTTCCCCCCTCAGTCCCTCCCATCCACTCTCTCTGAAAATCAATGGAAAACATATCCTCCTGGAAGGGTTACAAAAAAAAGAAATTAAAATTCTGGAGCCATTATAGCCTTGGCAGGAAATAGTTCTACAGCTGCTTTGTAATGTCTACCAGTATTCTTACTTGTCACCCAAAACTTATCTATTAAAAAGTGGCCTGCTAGCTCTAAAAATAAGACTGAACATAAGCACGGAATCAGGACAGAATGCTATGCTGAGACAACCTTGTTTCCTGTTGGATCGGGCTTACTTTGGCAGACCCTGTTCTGAGAGCCACAGGAGCCGCAGTGAAAACCAAAGGCCATGCCCTGGTTATTAAACTGCGTGGCTTTCGGTTTTTCTGCTCCTTTCTTGTATGTGATGCACAAGTCGAGAGGACAAATAACAAATAGCTGAATCCATTAAGAAGAGAAGAAACCCCTGGGGCGAGGGGTCCTGGGGGCTGTCCGCCTGCAGGGAGCAGGGAGCTCCCTCACAGTGACATTAGGAGGGCAGCTGAGGGCAGCAGGTCACTGCTGTAGATGGTGCCGGGTCCCCCTGAACTCACTCACTGAGGCTCCAGCCCCCCCTGTGGCGGCATTTGGAGGCTGTTTTTGGGAGGTTAGGGTTAGGTTATGATGCTCTTATATGGGTGGATGCCAGAGACCTTGGGAGCCGCCCCATCCACCAGCATCAGGACATGCCTCAGCGAGCAGGCAGGTGGTCCAGCCCAGGAGGAAGCTCAGCAGACCCAGCCCCTGATCCGGACTCCCAGTCTCCAGAGCTGGCAGGTGGTCGCTCCCTGGCATTCTGCTGAAACAGCCGGAGCAGAGCAAGGCACGGCTGACCCTGAGAGCACACGCCCAGGTGGAGCACAGCAGGAGGCCGCGGCCAGGCCAGGCCCTGCCGCCATCCTCCTGAGAGCGGTGGCCAGCGCAGCGGGCATGGATGGTGCTCTCCCGGGGAAAGGTCGCCTGGAGAAGAGAAGCTAGGAAGCCAGGGTGGAAGCAGGGGGGACCCACGGGGAGCGACGCAGGCCTGTCCGGTGGGGGCGGGGCAGGTAGTGAGAGTGGCTGACTCCGCGCATCCCAGAAACTGCGGGGCCTGGGACGCATCACACCCAGGTGTCGGGACGCTCTATCCGCCCAGTTGTGCTGAGAGCCTCAGAGCCCAGCAAGGTCTCCACCCTCTGCTCAGCCTCTCCTGCTCAGAGCCAGTCCCCCTGCCTGTCCCCTCCCCTGGCACTTGGACTATTCCCTCTCCTGCCAGTCCTCTCTGCTGAGCTCCTCAGGGATCCATGGCATTCTTTAGTCCCATCTCTGACACTGAGGGGCGCTGGTCTGGGCTCAGGGCAGAGCTCTTGATTCCCTCCTCAGGACACAGTGAGACACTTTGTAAATGCCTTTGGGCAGCGGGACGGCACCGTTAAATCATGTATGGATGCCCGTGTCATCGCCGACTGCCAGCTACTCGGGGACAGTGCCTGCACGTGTTCTGCTCCCAAATCGGCCACCGCCTGCCCGGGGACTGTCTGCCCTTGCAGGAGTGACTTTGCTACTTGCAGGCGTGTCTGGCAGAGGCCGGGCCAGCTGGTGCAGGAGCCAAACCAGAGGCAGTGCGGCTCCACAGACAGCACCAGCCCCGGAGGAAGGGGGTGAGCTGGCATCCAGGCTTGGCAGCGCGCTGTCCCTGGCAACGCAGTTGTCGCTCACACTTGCTTTAACTCAGGCAAACAGCCAGCAAGGAGCGGAAGCAGAGGAAACCCCTGCCGGGTGCTGATGTCAGAAACATCAAGGTCCCTCGGTAACCGTGGCCTGAGCTCGGCACTGTGGGCTGAACAGCAGAACAGGCAGAGTGCGCGATAAGCCAGCAAAGGCCGCAGTCTGCGCCCCTCCGGGTGAAACGTGGGGCTCGGGCTGCAGACTTCTAGCGGGTCCTTGTCCGACAGAGAAGAGCAAACTCATGGACTAACAGCTTTCTTTAATAAAAATGTAGTTCGTTGGGAGCACATGCAAACTCCATCTGGGCTGGGGTGTCCCCAAAGGCGACCGGCCCCACATGAGAAAAGCCTTCTCTCTCTCTCTCTCTCTCTCTCTCTCAAAATCTAAATCCGAACAACCAAAACCCTGTCTCACCCCTTTGTCTCCGGGTTGTGTATGCTTAGCTCTTGTTGGACCCTGACCCTTTCTAACCGGACCTTCCTTGGTTTGGGACTCCCGTGCTTTCCTGTGGTCACCCTGCTACATAGTTTCAGTTTCAAAGCTCCAAGCCCACGTGGTGCCCTCATCTCCCGCCTTATGCCGGGGCATCTCTCCACCCCTCTTCCTCTCCCGTGGACCCTTTACTCCCGAACTCCCTGTCCTGTCTCTAAAATTCCTTTTCCATGCACTTCCCAGGCCACGCCGCCACAGCCTCTCCTCTCTGGGTTAAAATCGGAACTTCAGACCAAAGAGCAGAGACTCCAATGAAAACTGAGAGGTGATGATCTCAGAAATTAGGCGGCTAGCCCTGGCTGATGTCACTCTGGTTAGAGCGCTGCCTGAGGCCATCCGTGCCTGCTGCCCGGCCACCTGCTCTCAAGGGCACGTAGCTAGGTTACAGTCCGATCCCCAGCCCCAGTCTGGGCACATGTAAAGGCAACAAATCACATGTCTTTCTCATATCAATGTTTCTCTCTCTCCCTCTCCCCCTTTCCCTTTCCACTCTCTCTGAAGATCAATGGAAGAAATATCCCCAGATGAGTGTTAACCAAACAACATCTACAACAACAAACCCAAAACAATAGAGCCTTAAAGCTGCAGAAGTGGGAAGGAGGGAGGGAGGGAGGGAGACAGAGAGTGTAGCTCAGGTGGCAGGACTCGGTGAAATGTGTGAGAGCTCCTTGAAGCGCAGAGCATTGTGGGGACACAGTGACGGCACTGTCCGTTGCCGTCCCGGTAATGACGCTTCGGAGCATGTGGCAGGCGGTGTGGGAAGGACTGGGAGCACACGTGATCGCCTACTATTCCAGAAGGGAAAGTACGCCGAGGTGGCACGCTCCTCGTCCAAGCTCATCGCTGCCCCCGAGGCCCTGCCCAGGGCACGCGGGAGGCTGGCTTTAGGTGGCGCCGAAGCAGGGCGTCGGGGGCGGCTGAGGGCTCCACAAGGAGGCGATGCGTTGGCTGCACACACGGGCACACGCGGATGGCATGTCTGTGCATGCCAGGCGGGTACGGCAGGAGCAGGGACGAAGGGGATTTCACAGAAGGGAGAGGAGGAGGTGGTTTTGCCGTGACAAAGGCCTCTTCCTCCGGAAGCTGCGGGAAGGCCAGCTGGGTGCCGGGAGGCGGCGGCAACGGTGCATTTCACTTGCTAAGGCAGAGGGCCAGCCCGGCCCCCTGCTCAGGAAGGGG